CGCTGAAGGATGCCGTGTTGTATGTACTCGCTGAAGGATGCCGTGTTGTATGTACAAAGTTTGTCCAAAACATTTGTGTTACAGAAGCAGCAGTTTAGAAGGTTTGCTCAGGTTAGGTCAGTCAGCATGCCACTATCTTTAATAAACCACGGCTCTGTACTTTTGAAGTCTTAAAATATTTGCACAGATGTTGTTTGCGTTCATTAATATTATAACGCATTACATTACTTTACCAAACATTCGGTTATCTTATTCCACATTAAAGCTCCTGACCTTTCACGTCTGTTCGTCCTCTGGTAGTGATATTTGATTCCACACAAGCTGCAGTCAGATATGGAGTCAGATATGTGCAGCGCTCGTTTCAGTTTAGTCTAACTGTTAGAATGGCTCAGCGTGTCTTGAGTTTTATATGTAGCAAAATGCAATTACTGGTATTCATTCTTTAATTTACTTTGCTGTGTAGGAATAAAATGAAAAAGCTTTATTTTAGATTTTGTCCTGGTTAGGCTCCAGCTGGGAGATTAAGAGCTTTGCTGTGTGCTTGTGTCCCTTCCAGCTTACCGTACTGATGACTGCCAGCCATGGGTGCTGCCTGTAGTAAAAAAGGTGGAGCGGCTGATTGTGGAGGATGAGGGCCTGAACCACGAGTACCTGCCCATCCTCGGACTGCCTGAGTTCCGCTCTGCTGCCTCCAAGGTCGCTCTGGGAGACGACAGTGCCGCCATCGAGGAGAACAGGGTGGGATACACTCACTGTATGAAAACTATAACTTTATCACAGTTGGACTTACAGTAGTCCCTCACGTATCACGGGGGTCACATTCCAGACACCCCTACGATAGGTGAACATCCGCAAAGTATGGACGTTATATTTATTTTAGTATTTATATATATATATATATATATATATATATTAAGGCTTTATAAACCCTTCCACACTCTTGCAATGTTCTAAACAATGTCTAGACTCTTTAACCTATGTCATTTTAACAACATGCGTATATGTACTGTACAGTACTGCATGGCTACTTGCCAGTGAAGATACTACAACTTGAAGGATGAGTTCAGCTTCAGGAATATTTGCAACTTTCCTGCCAGTTATGTGATCTTAATAGATGTAAAACTATTTTTACCACATCGGTTTCTCCGCTAGTGTTTGCTCCCTCCACTGCTGTTCTTTGAATTTCAGCAGAAAGCAGCAGCTGGAAGCACTGTTGGCTTCTGGTCCGTGTGGTTCTTTTGACTTGCGTTACAGTGTAGGCTTATTGGAAAAAAAACTAGAAAATGGCGGGGCCTCTCTGAAGTATTTGTTTAGTTCCATTTCATCCCTACTGACCGCCAGAGGCGGTGCTTAAAGCACTGAATGATCATTCTTGCGCATGCACAGGTCGAGAATTTTATGCCAACATAGTCACATGTGACGCCCGGGACACCGGTGAGTCTATAGAAGCACGTGACAACGGTAGCCCAGTCCCTTTCATCTCGCATGCAGGTGGTAAGAGGTTTACTTTTCTGCTTGACGCTGGTAGCCTCGAGACTACGGTCGGAGCTGCGGGACTGCCTCTCCCTCCAGAGGCTGCGCAAGCTGGTATCCTCTAAATGATTGTACTTCCAACTGGTAAGTTATTTTGTTTCTGTTGACCCGACGGTAGCGCGTTCGCTAGCCGCATCGGGCGTCCTTATTGGCTGGAAGTACGGCGTTTAGCCGTTTTTCCTTAATTTACAGAAAGCATTGCAGCCGCGTTTGTGCTTGCTTGTTTTCAGTTGCGGGTATAGCGATCGTGTTCGGCTTCGCCCACCTTTACCTGTTCAGGCTCGCGCTCATATTGTACAGCTGCGTCCGCCTGCTGTTTGTTACAATGCAGCTGTTTTCATGCCTGCCTCTCATTTACATAGTTACAGCCATGTTCGGCTTGACAATTTGTTACACTGCAGCTGTTTTTCATGCTTGCTTTTCATTTACATAGTTTCAGCCGTGTTCGGCTTGACTTTATTTTGTTACTCTGCAGCCGTTTTACGTGCTTGCATTTCCTTGAGTTGTACGGCCGTGTTCGGCTTGACTTTTTTCATTATAGTGCAGCCGTGTTCGGTCTTGCATTTTTTCTTGAGTTGTTTAGCCGTGTTCGGCTTGCCTCCCTTTCTTTAGTCGAAACCGTGTTCGTGTTGCATTTTTTACCTGTGGCTCTATGGCAGTTGCAGCACTTCTGGCTGCTTTTATAAGCTAGCAGTTGGGGAACCCCTGGTGGCATTTTCTGCTCGACCTGGTTCCCTGGACCATTCACTTGACTCCAGCGTCAAGAGTGGCGTTTCCTGCTCGAACTGACGCTTCTAGTACTATGAACCGTAAGATGCTGAACGTGCAGTGCTGCAGAGCCTGTTTGGCCCCTCTCCAGTTGGAGGATGGACATGTTCTGTGCCCCCCTTGTTTGGGGCCGGATCATCTGAGGGAGGCCTTGACAGAAGCAGCCTGCCCCAACTGTTCCGTTCTGCGCTTGTCCCTGCGGGCAGCTCGTTTGGCTAGTTCTGAGATTGCGAGCCAGCATGTAAATCATGTGGCCCCAGAGGCCTTAGAGACTTCACGAAAAAGGACCAAGAAAAGCGCCAGGGGCTCAGAGGGACTGTCTGAGCAGGTGGCCCATCTCACCTCTGAGCTGGAACAGATGAAGGCGCTGCTCGAGTCCCTGAGGGAAGGAGACAACGCAGGTCTGACTGGGGACCCTGATTTGGGACAGAACATGGGGTCAGGGGCCTCTGCTTTTGAAGAGGATGCCATCTCCCTGGCAGCATCTGGAACTGATTTTCAAGAGCAGTTTGAGTCTGGCTCGTGTGTGTCGACTGCCAGTTTGCACACCTCCTTCTGCTCTCAGCCGGAGGACGGTTCCATAGTGGGTGCTTTGAGAACTGCTCTTGCTCTGTTGCACCTGAATGTCCCACAGAGCCAACCCGCTGCTTCCAGCGCTTTCTTTAAACGTCCTTCTGCTAGTTCATCCTTTATGGTTCCCCCTTCGGCTGAATACATAAAGGAGGTACATGCCTGCTGGATGGATACTAAGGCTTTCTCACGACCGACCGCAGATGGCAGGGCCCTGACGGCCATGCAGGATGCACCCAAGTTTGGCTTGGGCAATATGCCTTCTGTTGAACCTGCCATAGCGTCTCTCATTGTGGCTTCAGATGAGGCTTTGAGGGCTAATGCCAGGTTCCCTCGTCCTCAGTGCCGGGTCACAGATGACCTGCTCTGTAGAGCTTATGACTCGGGGTCTCGATTGGGGCGAAGAAGATGATGATCTGAGAAACTGACTTACTTGGAGTTATGGCCATTTTTGTGTTTGCTAATATTGACTAGCTGTGGCAGCCATCTAGGATTTAATTGTCTCCAATCCTTAAAGAGTTAGAGATGTAATGATAGCTTTCTGAACGTTTGATTAAAATGTGTTCAGTGGTTCATGGGTCTGTTAGCTCATGTGTTTGCTAACGGATGGACGAAGTTGACTCCAAAATGTTAATTGATCATTTTTGAACAAAGATCTTGTGCAATTTGTTAATCTTCAGATTACGTTTTAGGGATCAGTCTCAGCATTCGCACCACCTCTCCAAAACCCATCCAAGGACCGGCTGATTTTAAAGTCATATTTAAGTCATCATCCAGTGTAAGTGGGGGCAAACATAATGAAATGAAGGTAGAAAAGAGATGCCTAACGATGAAAAGATAACAACATAACACTGCAAGAAATCACGACGCCCTGTTGATATATTTAAAAAAACTAAGCAATCCCCCAGTTCATTATGCAGCACAGAAAACATTCAGATTTTTTTTGTCTTCATATTTATTTTGCTCATAATCATTCTGGTTAGAAATGCAAATTAGCTTAATAAGTTAATAATTAAGTATTGCATGTCTTGACAGTTCTATTGTTGAACGAATTCCCTGCCCCACTATCTTTTCTGTCTGACAGGTAGGAGGAGTCCAGGCTCTGGGAGGCACAGGTGCGCTAAGGATCGGGGCAGAGTTTCTGAGACGGTGGTACAACGGTGTCAACAACATAGCTACACCCATCTACGTCTCAGCACCCACCTGGGGTTAGTGCACAACTCTGAACTGAGTGCCGTCTTGGCAACAAACCAAGAGCTCTGACTGGTTAAAGTTTTTTGTGATGTTTGTCTCTGTTTTCAGTGTAGCGGCAGAGGAAAAGAGTTCTAAGATCACATACTGTAGGTGCTGCTATGGTTATTTTTTTAACATCTACTCCATGTTACCACCTCATTCTAGAGAACCATAATGGTGTGTTTAACGACGCTGGCTTTAAAGACATCCGCCCGTACCACTACTGGGATGCTGCTAATAGGGGTCTGGATTTCACTGGGCTCCTGGATGACCTGGAGGTGAGTAGAGCTTCAACGATTAGTCACTGTAGTCCACGAAACGACTTCAGAAAAAATTGCGATCATGGATTTTTATTGTCTGTGTCATAAGCATAGCTCTTAACAGAAGGCTCTGGTCACAGTAATCCACATTCCCTAAAATGGTTTTTAGTAATATTCCCTAGGTACTACATTTTGTGGTCCTCAACTAGTCTGGCTTTGGTACCACCATCACCCCTTAATGACAAGAAATTGAGGAAAACTTTTCCAAGATGGTGCGGTTTGAAACTGAGGAAGTAGAATAGGATATCACAATATTCATTCAACCTTTATTTATGCAATTCATTTCAATTCAGTTTATTTATAAAGTGCCAAATCACAACAAAGTTATCTCAGGGCACTTTACAGAAACATTCACATAAAAGCCAATCAGTAAATCCAAAAAAGTTCAATCTGGTCCTCTGGACATTCAAAAAAACAAAAAACAAAACAAAGCAAAAAAATGTAGAAACGTTTCGTCTCTCATCCAAGAGACTTCCTCAGTCTGAGGAGCTGTATTCAGCTCAGTCTCTTAAATAGCACCTTCTCAGAGTGGATCAACCAGTTTTGCTGCTGACAACCAGAACCAGCTGATCACATGCTCAAGAAGGACCATCAGCCTAACAATGGGTCATTAGCACACAGATGGCTGTTTACTGTTCACAGAGGGCTGAGTGATACTAGCAATCACAGCATTGTAAGAGGGGGACAGTTGAACCTGGAGGCCTCCACCCCTGTTTAACGATGGACGATTTCTTTTCACAAAGATGGCCTCCTTTACTCCTCTCTCAAACCATCGTTCCTCTCTGTCCAGGATGTGCACATCTTCATCCCTGAAAGAGTGACCGCTGGCCTGGAGATGAGTGTAGACCGCAGAATCCTGGCCTGATGATGTTGATCTTCTGTGCTGGTCCATCCTTTTGGCCAGTGGCTGTTTAGTTTCCCCGATGTAAGACTGATCACAGCCCTCCTGACACTGAACAGCATACACAACATTACTCTGTGCCGGGGGACTGGATCTTTGGGATGAACCAGCCTTTAATGTATTTTGGGGTTTAAAAGCCACTGGGACGTTGTGTTTAGAAAATAAACGTCTCAGTTTCTCTGATACTCCCTCAACATACGGAATGACCACTGGTCTGGGTCTGGGTTCCTCCTTTTCACCTGTTGGCTGACTGGAGTCCTGTTTGGGTTTCTTCTCTGCTTTCAGGAAGGCCCAGTTAAGATATCCACATTGCTCTAGAGCCTGTCTTGTATGGGATTTCTCCTTCTGCCTGGCTCCTGAGCTAGTGGGGACGCTGTCTGCTCTGTGGTACAGAGTCCTGATGACTCCTAACTTGTGCTCCAAAGGGTGATGGGAGTCAAACTGCAAATACTGGTCTGTGTGGGTGGATTTGCGGTACACCTCAGTTTGCAAATGTCCTCTATCAGAGACTGAGACCTCACAGTCCAAGAAAGCCAACTTGCCATTATTTTCATCTTCTCGTGTGAACTTGATGTATTTATCCACAGAGTTGATGTGGTCAGTAAAATGTTGGACTTCCTGAGATTTAATTTTAACCCAGGTGTCATCAACATACCTGAACCAATGACTTGGTGGTGTCCCTGAAAAGGACGTCAAGGCTCTCTTTTCTACCTCCTCCATGTACAGGTTGGCAACAATAGGAGAAACTGGAGACCCCATAGCACACCCATGTTTCTGCCTATAATATTGCTCCCCATATGTGAAGTATGCTGTTCAGTGTCAGGAGGGTGATCAGTCTTACTTTGGGGAAACTAACCAGCCACTGGCCAAAAGGATGGCCCAGCACAGAAGATCAACATCATCAGGCCAGGATTCTGCGGTCTACTCTCATCTCCAGGCCAGCGGTCACACTTTCAAGGATGAAGATGTTCACATCCTGGACAGAGAGGAACGATGGTTTGAGAGAGGAGTAAAGGAGGCCATCTTTGTGAAAAGAAATCGTCCATCATTAAACAGGGGCGGAGCCTCCAGGTTCAACTGTCCCCCTCTTACAATGCTGTGATTGCTAGTATCACTCAGCCCTCTGTGAACAGTAAACAGCCATCAGGTGCTAATGATCCATTGTTAGGCTGATGGTCCTTCTTGAGCATGTGATCAGCTGGTTCTGGTTGTCAGCAGCAAAACTGGTTGATCCACTCTGAGAAGGTGCTATTTAAGAGACTGAGCTGAATACAGCACCTCAGACTGAGGAAGTCTCTTGGATGAGAGACGAAACGTTTCTACATTTTTTTGCTTTGTTTTGTTTTTTGTTTTTTTGAATGTCCAGAGGACCAGATTGAACTTTTTTGGATTTTTCTACCTGGATTATTGAGCATGTATCAGGATGCCAATTAGTAAAGTTCTCTATCTAAGGAATCCAGCAGACAAGTTGAATCTTGGCTTTGTCACAGTCTCCCATCCTGAGCAAGCACAGTGGCAACAGTGGAAAGAAAAACTCCCTTTTAAAAGGAAGAAACCTCCAGCATAACCAGGCTCAGGACAAGAGACCATCTGCTTTGACCGGCTGGTTGAGAGGACAGGAAGGAGAGACAGACGAACACAGAATGGTAGGTCCAGGTCCAGATATAGGTCCAGGTCCAGATTTAGGTCCAGGTATAGGTCCAGGTCCAGGTATAGGTCCAGGTGTACCTGAAAGACACAAACACATGTTAAGGATAGAAAATATAATTACAAATACAAAACAAGTTGAGCAGAGTAAGTACAGACAGTAGCAGAGTGAAAAGTGTGGTCCGTTTGTCCTCCAGCAGTCTAAGCCTATAGCAGCATAACTAAGGGACAGCTCAGGAAACCCAAGCCGACCCTAACTATAGGATTTATCAAAAAGGAAAGTCTTAATCCTAGTTTTAAAACTGGACAATGTGTCTGCCTCACGGACAGAGACTGGAAGTTGGTTCCACAAGAGAGGAGCCTGAGAACTGAAGGATCTGCCTCCCATTATGTTTTTGTAAATTCTAGGAACCACAAGTAAACCTGCAGCCTGAGAGAGAAGTGCTCTGTTAGGAAAATATGGAACAATAAGATCTGTAATATAAGATGGAGCCAGGTTGTTGAGCGCTTTGTAGGTTAGAAGAAAGATTTTGAATTCAATTCTGGATTTGACAGTGAGCCAATGGAGAGAAGCTAAAACTGGAGAGATATGATCTCTCCCAGTAACTCCAGTTAAGACTCTGGCAGCAGCATTTTGGATCAACTGAAGACGTTTTAAAGAAGTATTTGGACACCCAGATAATAAACCATTGCAATAGTCCAGTCTAGACGTGACAAATGCATGGACCAGTTTTTCTGCATCATCTTTAGATCAGATGTTTCTAATGTTAGTGATATTACGCAGGTGGAAGAAGGAGGTTCTAGTAACGTTTTTAATGTGGGGGATAAAAGACATGTCCTGATCAAAAATAACACCAAGATTTTTAACATTAGAGCTGGAGGACAGATTAATGCATCTAAGGAGGGAGAAAGACTGAAACATTCATTCCTAAGGTGCTCAGGTCCAAAAACCAAAACCTCAGTCTTGTTTGTGTTCAACAGGAGAAAATTAAGGGTCATCCAGGTTTTTATGTCTTTAAGACATGCTTGTAGTCTAAGTAGCTGATTGGATTAATTGGGTTTAATGGACAAATATAATTGTGTGTCATCAGCATAACAATGAAAATTTATCCCATGCTGTTTAATAACTTTACCTAATGGAAGCATATATAAAGTAAAGAGTATTGTCCAAGCACTGAGCCCTGAGGAACTCCATGACTAACTTTGGTGTATGAAGAAGATTTATTATTTACATTTACAAACTGGAATCTATCAGATTGATATGATTTAAACCACTTTAGAGCCGTTCCTGTAATCCCAACATCATATTCAAGCCTCTGTAGTAAAATATTGTGATCAACTGTATCAAATGCAGCACTGAGGTCTAACAGGACCAGTAGAGACACAAGTCCATTGTCTGAGGCCATGAGAATATCATTAGTGACTTTTACTAGTGCTGTTTCTGTGCTATGATGAGCTTTAAACCCTGACTGAAACTCTTCAAACTGATTATTTCTTTGTAGATGTTCACGCAACTGACCTGCAACTATTTTCTCTAGAATTTTTGAGATGAATGTTAGATTAGATATAGGTCTGTAGTTGGCCAGAATTTCTGAATCAAGATCAGACTTTTTAAGTAAATGTTTAATTACAGCAACCTTAAAACGCTGTGGTACATAACCATCCATTAAAGACAAATTAAGTAGATCCAAAATGTGGACATTAATTAGTGGAAATACCTCTTTAAACAGTCTGGTTGAGATGGGATCTAGCAGGCATGTTCATCTATGCAGGTTAATCCCAATGAACCTCGGGGACTCATTTACAAGAGAGACCTGATTTTAACAAAGAATGATGACAACAGTAGACGACAAAGATAGCAGTAGGCAATCATTAAAAGCATACAAACTGTGAAGAATACATAAATGAAAATAGTATTAAAAAACGAAACAAAAGCAGCAAGGTTGTAAAGTGATGTAGAATACTATAAACAGAACCATGTCTGCATTGTCATGATCAGCAGTCTCTGCTTGCCCCCATCTGCTCAAGTCTTTGTCCCTTTATGCCTTTATCACTTCCTCTGTCCGCCACCTCGCTCACAGCCCCTCATGGCATGTTTCTTTTCCTCTTTGTCATCACGCTGTTTTCCCTTGCCTCTTCATGTCAGGTTTTCTGCTCCTTCATTCAGCCATGCCCTCCCCTGCACTTTCAGGTCCTCAGCTCTGATTCACGGCACCTGTTCTTGGCCTTATTTAAGAGCTACACTTTCACTTTTCCTTTGCCAGATTATTATACCTTCCATGGTCCCTGATTTTCAAGCCTTGCTCTCTGGATTATCAATCTCACGCCTGTTTCCTGGATTCTTTGCTTTGCCTGCCCCTTTTGTATTACACCTTTCTGCCCACGATATCGACCCCTGCTTCTTCGTCTACAACCACTCATCAAGGTTACGTTTTTTGGACTTATTGATTTAAAACTCTGATCTTCTGTGTATGACCCCGCTTCGTCTCTTGTACCCTGCTCTCGGATTTGTCCCCTCAAACCACGTTGTCCCAGTACTCCTTTGCAGCTGCCCTGCTCCACTGCCGGTGACTTCATCTCTGCAGACTTGGACAGGTGACTGTCTCTGCACTCGCCTGTGAAGACCTGTCACCTCTACTGGATTCTCTCCCTTGCTGCAGCTGCAATAATAAATAAAACTGTTTTCATTTTTTACTCTTGTGTATGGCTATTTTGAATCCTAAAACCTGGTTCTTGACAGAATAATTTGGCCACAAATATGGATTCAAAGCCGACACGAGAGTGGTCCTCTGGCATCGAGGTTTCTAGCACTTCACCACTTGCTCTCGACGAGATCAGATGCTTCCCTCCCTCAATCTCCTCTTTGCTTTGCTGCTCTGTCTGTCTGTGAAATTGCTGTGAGCCTCTCTTCATTTCTTCCGAACCATAATTATGGATTGTTTTGACCAGTTGGTCCCTCAACTCAATTTACAACATTTCTTCGTAGAGAAGACAGGCTTTAGGCGAGCCGATTTGCCCTGTTGGCACGCACGCAGCTGGATATCTCATCGACTGGAAAACTTGATGATGTGTCTATCTCTGCTGCCATCTGTGGATTTTAAGGGCGCATATTTAATTGGATTTACGATAACTGGTTCCTGCCAGTTATCCCACCAGTTGAGAATCACTGGTAAAATCTCACACTTGATCTCACTCACAAAGGATCTCATCAATAACATGTGACAACTGCAACTACCTAAATGTTGTATGGAAAGCATTTTTTCCACAAGTTGCCATTAATTCGAGACTAACCTGTATAAATAAAGATTGAATGAAATGTATAAAGTGTTTATTTAAACTTTGATAGTTGCAGCAGATGTTGACTGACTTCACTTCAAGCATGAACCAAGTATTTTTCATCCTTTGTCCTTTTAAACTTCGATTCCTCAAAAATCACAACATAACACATCATAACATAAATCATATTTTGCCCTTCCCATTTGTAGCATGAAGCTGCACTCCTCTAACTATGACCCCTGACCCTTGGGCTGACTACCAGACTCACCATGAACTGTTCCTTTAACGTTACCTCTGACTTCAATCACGTCTGGTGTTTCTCACATTCACCGTCCTTGGACACAGAGTCAGCTACCGTCTCATTAATGTTACCTTTATTTTTTTTGTTTTCTATGCCTTTAAGAAAAAAACAAATCATTAATGAAGTTTCTTTTCGTTCATTATAACAAGTGTGAACATGAATGGTTTTGCTTCTTGTTTTCTATCATTATAATGAAGTAATGTGAAATATCATAATGTGTTTAACATATTTCTCTCCTGTTTATCAGAAAATAACTTGTTCCTTCAGAGACACCTGTTGTAAATGTTCTTTGAGCTGGAACCGTCTACTTCAGAGGGGAGTCATGATGTTCCCTAGTTAGTCAGAACATCTGAGAGATGCTGTTTCACACAAAGTTCCTTTGTGTGAAAAGCACTTAGTCTTGGACTCCCCTGATCCTGATCCTGATGTAGTCCAAGGTCCACTCCTCGGCACTCCTGAGCAGATAAACACGTTGCTCGATCAGAGTTTGTTAGAAAAAAAGCGAAGTTAAATAACTACAGAAGATGAGACCTTTTTCTCACTGCAAGGCTCATGTTCTCTGCTCCAAGTCTAAGCTGAAGGTTGCGCTGGACTGCATCTCTCATTGGCTGTTGCCCTCATCGATCCCTGAAGCTGTCATTGGGCAGTTCCTGGCGAGTCCTCCTCGTGGTGTGTCCTGTTCTGCTCCACCAGCAGAACCCCAGAAAGACCAGTGAACTGGTGCCCTCAAACTGACCCGGTAAGGAGCAGAAACCTGGTGACCATGAACTCTTGATCTGCTAATACTGTTTTAGCTGATGCAACTTGGTAAATGATTTGAGAAATCACTTGGTAAATGATTTCCTGCTTGCAGTGATAATAAATGACTTATCTGATCACATTCAATATCTTATTTTAACAAAAATCCAAAGTAAGCTATTAAACTAGTCAAACTTTGTCTAAATTCATACGCGTATTAACCCAAAATAATTCCTGCTCAAAGAGTTAATTTTGCCTTCGATGAGAGAATTAAGCCTCAATTGATTAATTATTGTTTGTTTATTATTTTTTGTTGATTTTCAGTTTGATTATTTTTGTAATAAAACTTCAAAGACAACTTTGGTCTCTTCATTCGGATGAATATTCATGTGTTCTGGTGTAAAACTCCCTGTAATGAACAGATTCTACTTCAGTGACTGATTCTGATCATTAGAGGGTGAATATATTAATAATTAATTTGTTGTAGGTCAATAAACTGACCAGCTGCTGGTGCTCCACTTTAACGAGAGCTAAATAAATCAAATAAATGTAGTGGAGTGTTGTGGGCAGTGTCATCATTCTTCCTCCATCTCACTTCATAATGCTACAATAATAAATATTAATATTAATAAATGGATAATGGCATCATAGAAATTTTTCCAGCAGTTTATTATGATTTCATAGAAAAGCAGGATGTTTGAAAAGGTTAAATGATCGAGAAGCAAAGAAGGACAGTGGATCTCCAAGTTGTAATGAATGTGTGATAAAAATCATTGACAATGTTTCACAAAGAGTTCTGGGAAGTGATCTTCTTGTTTCATTCTAGAGCATAAATACTGTAAATGATTCAATAAACCTAGACCTTTTTCAGCGTGTATAGGGTGAGACAAGCCTAAACTGGACACCAGTGATCATTTCAAAAACGTTTGTCAGTAGCTGAAAGAGCTACATGGACGAGATCTTTTTAAAAAAAAATTGTTTATTATAATATATTTTTAAATGTTTTTTCTTTTTAACAGCAAGCTCCTGAACACTCCATTTTTGTACTCCATGCTTGCGCACACAATCCCACGGGCACAGACCCCACCCAGGAGGAGTGGAAGACCATCGCAGACATCATGAAGGTAAAAGAAGATGGTTTCATGTGTGTTTGAGTTTCTGAAGGCACATTCTCACTAGGGATGCACCGGCCCACTTTTTTTTTACTTCTGATCCGATCCCTAAATCTGAGTATCGTCCGATACCGATCCAGTTCCGATCTCATGATCATCATTGATTTTATATGAGGCTGTAATAATCTCCTCTCAAGTACAATTTGTACAAATATATGCATGCATGTCCAAAAAGGCAACTTGAGGTAAGTTTTATTAATGTTGGACAAGTTTTAAAGTTAGAATTAAATTCTAACACAAAACATGTTTCTTTTTATTCCTAGTTTTAAAGTGGATATTAAAGTGATTAATTTAAGTGATTGTTTAAAGTTATTTTATATTTTATAAGGGGCAGATATAAGAATTTTTTTTCTTCTTTCTGAACTCTTTTCATTCAATGTTTTCTTTTTGATGATTTATTTTTATTGTTTCTTTTAAATGAATGAATAAATGAATTAAATTAAATGTTAAATGGCTTCAAACATCTGCTAAGTTCATGGCATAAACCAACAGACATGTTCCTGTTTTTAGTATTTTACATCACTTTATAATGTAG